TATATATATATATATATATATATATATATATATATATATATATATATATATATATTAAAGATCTGCAGATATTTTAACCCTTCATCTGTTTATCTTTCCATCTTCACTAAGTCTATAAAATCTATAAAGGTCATGAAATAATCCTGTCCTCATGTATGTGTAGTAACCGTGCAGGATTGGTTGTTTTCCTCCTAGAGCTTAGGTGCTGCCTGCAGCCCTGCCAGCGTAAAATCAGGGGACCGTTTCATTCCCACCCGCGCCGGAAGCAACTGGAGCATCAACTTCCACTATGCCAACGTGAGAGATTTGCACCCACTGTGTGAGCTGTTCTTTAAAGAAACAAAAGGGTTCCATGCAGCAGCAGATGCATCGTTTTTCTCTCTCTCCGCAGGAGAACTGCCGCTCTCCTGCTCAGAACCACAAAGCAAAGGATGCCAGTTCAGACTCCAGCAAAGGTCAGGAGTTCTGCTGGTTTTTAATAATCAAGCTGGATCTCCTTCTGGGTTCACCACCTTAATTGTCTCACCTCCATAGATGCCGCAGCGTACGCCGCCCTGCTGAGGAACGAATTGTTGGGCGCTAGGATAGAGACTGTGGCAGAGCCTCACGCGGACGACCGGCGGCATGACGTTCTAGCTCAAGACTCTTACAGCCTCTTTAGGGTGCAGATGATTATTTATGAGGTTTTCAGTAGATAAAGCTGCTTAGATTTACTAAAGCTAGCGTTGAAGTGGTAAAGTCTGTCTACTCTTCCAAATCTATGGTTCTGTGGACAGAAAAATGTATATTTGGGTTAATCGTATGTAGGCTGATCATTATTTTGGTTTGTTTTAGCTAAGAATAACAGCTTCTGTTCAGCTTCATCCAACAAGGTTCTGCTTCCTGTGCCTCATCTCTGCAGTACACTGTCCACACAAAGAGAGTGCCTTGCGATCGCAGTAATGAAGTGTCCCCCTTCTCCCTCTCTCCGCTCAGCAACAAGAGGTATAAAACGTCCCACTAAAACCTGTACAGATGTGTTGTTCGGCTCAAAATAGTTACTTCTTTTTTTTTTTTCTCCTTTTCCGTTTCTTTTTGTTTAAACTTTCAATGGATTCCTAAAGTCACAAGCTGCTCCGTTCGCCTCGCAAGCCAGCGCGAAAGATCTCCAAGATCCCCTTCAAAGTGCTGGATGCTCCGGAGCTGCAGGACGACTTCTACCTCAATCTGGTGGACTGGTCGGCGGGAAACCTGCTGAGCGTGGGGCTGGGAGCCTGCGTCTACCTGTGGAGTGCCTGCACCAGCCAGGTTATTTCACATTTGTTTAGATAGGGAGATCCTTTACGTATTTCCCCACCAGTGAAGAAACAACAACTCCCTAGTGATCTGATCATCCTTGAATTAAACCTCCAATTAAATGGATTCTCTTAAATTGATGCAATTAGATCATTATCATAAGAATACCATAAAAGATTGCTATGCAGTTTGCTGTGACCTACACACAGAAAGCCTTTTAAATAATAAACAAAAATTGGGCTCAGGTCAGAGGAAACTAAATTCAAACCTGTTTGATCTACATGCAGAATACTAACATTGATTAACACAGACTCTGTGAAATGCTGATGTTTGTACTTCAGTAGGGAAGAATCTCTTCCTGGTTTAGGAGGCGAAACAGACACAGAGATTAAAAGCCCTTTTAGATACAACATCAAGACATATAAAACACACTTAGCGGTGTAATGGAAAGCTTTTTGTTTACATCTCTAAGCTTTCTCTCCATGATTCTTTCCTGGGAAGAGATCACTTGGAATAAAATTAAACAGCACTTCATAATGTATATATATTAAATAACTATGAGACATGATAAAAGTGTTTTTGCAGAAATTGTTTTTAAACTCGGAGCAGAGAAATGGCTCATGTTACAGATGGCAGCGCTGACCACCGGGCTGGCTTCTTTAGAAAGGTGGCCCACATACCAGTTAAAGAAGCATTTTACACACACGGCCTGTTACATCATGACATCACACACGTTTCCACATGAGGAGACTTCTGACTCCAGCCATTATCTTAAACTTAGATCAAGGAAATCCTAAATGCACAGTGACAGAGCTATCTGTAAGAAGATTCCTCTCTGTCTGTTTGCTCCCATTTCATTCCCAAATCTTTGTTGCGTTCATAATGAAGATGATTACTTTCTATACTGACGGAGGAGCTAACTGCTTGGGAAAATACTAGCCTTAATACATAACAGGCAACAAATGCATGTTTTAGCGTTTTCTACGGTGGCCCTGAAGTGAAAACTGCAACTACAAATCTAAAAGCGCAACTACATTAAGAAAAACACAATTACATTAACCTACCGGAAAAGGTAGGTACCAGTGGGAAACATGAGA